GAACAGAACAGCCTCGTCGGATGTATACCGCCCGCTGGTTTTCTATCAGTTGCAGACGGCTGCAATAGCAATAATCTGACCCGGTTGTGGGATGATCGAGCGATCTCTCCTTTTCGTTTTTTTTTCAGCCTTCTTGCTGAGGACGTCTTTCGTCTAACTTGTCAAACAGAAAATATGTATACGCCGATCCTGGTAGCCTAGGATGTAAACACTTGGAGGTCGGGGATTCGAATTCCACATCAGACATGAATGTTTGCCTGTATGTTATCGCATGGTGAGGATCTCCCAACCGTTTATCACAGTCCATCCCTCTCCCTCTGTAGACCTTGTGGCGGAAGTGCTTTGGCACAACATCACTGTGGGCTCAAATCTCTCGTAAGGTATGGATGGTGTGTGTTCTAACATGGTGGGCCAAACACAACCACCACGTCTCAACTCTAAACCATTTTTATTTCACTTTTTGAGACAGATTTTTTCTGCGAATCAGCTTTTTTTAGCCGCATGGGGTCTATGGGCTGCCTCGGAAATTCTACCTTCCTAAAGTGACTGACAGATGGGCCTACGGAGCACATTAGGCAGTCGCGAAGGGGAAGATCTTGATAAATTCTCTCATCGCGACAAAACGTGAATTGAAAGTTCTAACTAATATGTAAATGAGGCGATGAGCCTGAAACCATGTTTATTGCATTACAAGATACTGCGAATGCCAATGTATGGTATTATATGCCAGTGGCTTGCAAACCTCTAGCGAAAAACGAAAAAGGTAAATATATCAATTTTGCTTCTTGAGTTGCTTACCATTTTCTTGTATCACGCGTTTCAATTCTAGCTCTAAAATAACATTTTTTCGTGTGCAGCTTCGTGAAACGCGTCTCTGATTAGAATACACTTTCAAATGCAGTTTTGTAGCACCCCTGATTCAAGAAATTATTTCGCTTTATAACTTGCGCCTTTCTCTGGATTAATTTTCGAAGCATGTTTCAGGATTATTTTATTTGCGTTCTCATCTGCCTCATGGCGAAAAGCGTGTAAATTATACGGACTCTTGTCGGGTGCACTTTTCACGAGAGTACTACTTCGATCCATCATATGGGAGGAATATTGATGCATTGCTCTCCCTACACGGGTACGTACACGTTAATATCTGTTAGCGCCGCATTGTACTGCGTGTTGACATTCGTTTCGCACAGCGCGTTTGCGTTTGACATAGCAAAGTTAACCGCGCCGCGCGTAGGTTGGTAAAAAGTTCTTGGAAAATACTAGCCGCAGTATTTGTATCTGTAATGTATTGTAGTCCATAGATGAATAGTTCACGTCCTGTGCAAATAATTAGTTTTACTTGTCAGTTTATAGAATTACTTTGACTTTAAAATTAATGCTTGAAAACATTTATCGTACTGATAAAAATAATGTAATTTGTTTAATTTTGTGCATCAGTGAGGTTGCTTCTCACTCACTCTCTCCCACTCACTCACCATTTTCGATCAAGGTAATGTTGAATGTATAGTGAAAAACAAGAACAGCAAATTTGGTAAATTAAATAGTTTTTTTTTCTTTCAAAACGTTAGATGTCTGCCGACTCTAGTTTTCTTTCCATGAGAAATAAGTTATTGTCAGGTCTCTCTGTCAGTATGCTTAGAAGAGGTCGACTTCCTTTAGCTATATAGTGGTGGGTGATTGGCTTTAACTCTACTTGTCACCTCGTGATGTTTATGACTTTTCCCCTTGAAGAACGTGAGGTCGTCGCCTGTAAATCAGAGGTTCTTGCAAAGCCACTGAAGGAGGCAGGCAGCCAATAGCATCGCAGCGCGCGGAAGGGCTCCTGGCGGGCTGTTGTCATGAGGCCGGCAACGCCTCCGCCTCCACCACCTCCTCCTTTGCCGTCTTCTACTCTTCTTCGGCTTCCATTCTCCCTTTGCATGCTTTAAGTGCCATCGCTTTAAATTCGGGTCTTAATGAGAGGGTGGCCCCCATGGCGTACCGGCCACCTTGCTAGTTTTCAGAGCACCTATCAAGTTTCAAATCCTGCTCATTTAATCTGGCACACAAAGCGTGTTCGAGAGAGGGCTTCTAGAGTCGGTTTTTCTCCCCTTCTCCGCCCTCGTCTTTCTTTTTATCATCATTAACACGATAATTATCTATCAATTCATTCATCACGCCGCTTCTGAACCTGAGTCTGTTCAGATTCTGCAGTGTTAAAAAAGGAATGTCTTTCTGAGATAATGTTGGTTTATTGCATTATTTACAGTCTGAGAAAACATACTGTGCATTTACGAACCTGTAGTTTGAATCGTGTTATTGCGAAATAACGAAGAGATAATTAATTTATTATCATGAATCAATTCTTACGCATAAAGTAAAGTTTCAGCAAACTTCAAACCTTATGACTAAAGATGTATAAAATGTAATATTTATAATAATTGTACATTTCAGGGTTGTTTATTCTCGGTAACTTTTGTATTGTAAGTGCTGCAGAAACGTCTTCCAAAAACAGCACTTACCGCGTTTCGTTTCGATGTTAAGTACTATTCGTATCAGAGAGTTTGCCGAGTAAATAGTTTATACTATAAAAAATGTACTTTGGATTTTGAACCTAGTCTTCAGTTGTATCAACATTGGGCAAATATTTTCTTCTCCAATATTACGTAGCATCTTTTTGCTAAGCCGGATGCTCTAAAAATAAATAATTCAGATGAGTATTTCACAGTCTGCATGTACAGAAGGTGAAACAATGCATCTCAACATGCTATAGTAGCCTTCAAAGTGCTCTAGTACTGCATTCTACAGGCGCCGAGTTGGTCGCCATGCGTCCTTTACAGGCTCTGGCCTTTCTGTTTCTTGGCTTCTCCACCGGCGTCTTTCTTTTATTCGTCGAGGCAGCGCGGTGACAATAGCGGGGCGGGCGAGGGGAATGGAGGTCGGAGAGCAGGGGCGCTCAGGAGAGGAGGGGAGGGTGCGGTGCAGAGGCCCTAGTGCGACGTGTGAAATAGAAAGCCCTTTAGAGGCGGCGCCGCCGGCACCTCCTCGACGTCGCCACATCCAATCCAAGCTGTTATCACGGGATCACCACGTGGCGGCAACGGCCGACCCATGCAAACGCCTGCCATCGGCTCCACGCGCGAATCTTGACGATCTATAGGGCCATCTTTGGAGGTTCTTTTCATGGAAAAGCTTTACTTGCAATTATTGTAAATTATATTTCGTATAAAACTTGATGACTTGTTTGATAATAAAACTTATATATAATTTCTAAAACTTGTAATGTAAACCTCGCTTTTCCAGATGAACTATTCAATATATCTCAGCAAATAAGATGTATGAAAGCTGGAAGCCTCCGATGACTGCACGGGTAACTTACATTTTTGTATTTGCTACGTAAATATTCATAATCTAAAATAATACTTTTTTGAAATGTTTACATGAAGCACAATCTGGCGGAGACCTAGGTAATCGGTTCTGGTCGTACCACGAAAGCGCATCTTGATGCGCAGTTTGATGTCGCATTTGCGTTTTTCAATGTGTGTTCCCGCTACACTTCTGAATGGGTATGTAATTTTCAGAACGATAGCAACGGTGATTGTTGTGATCATGGCACAATAAGGCGGAGACAAGCGAGATGAGACGAGGCCGCACAGGGCGAGGAGAGTGGAAGGCAGCAGGGTGGATTTGGAAGTTCGGCGTAAGACAGGGCAAGCGAGGGCGAGGATGCAATATAGGCAGAAACAATTTCTCTTCTCGGTAGAATAGATGAAAATGGTAAATAAATACCCGGACAAATTGAATGGTTTAACCCCCCCCCCAGTGCGATTAAATCCACTAGTATGATTAAATAAATATAAATTGTCGAATACACATGTTCTTGCTTTCTTTGAAACAGTTCTAGATCCAAGGGAATCCTCACCCCCTTCACTTGAATCCATTCCTAACGGTAACCAAAGATCAACCGGATGTATACGAGATGTATTCGAGTTTATGCGGATTGTATCGCAGAAACGTCTCAGATTCATGCAGCTGGAAATTACGCAAAATTATTCTGGCGCACGATAACGCAAGACAAGGGAGAGAAGATTTTCCCGGGTTTCGGGTGCTGGCAAATGTCTTGTTCTTGTCTGATTATGTATGGTTACGTCCGAAGTTTTCTTTGTCTTTCTCCTGTGGAGAAGAGAGAAAGTTTTGTAAAGTAAACCGAAATCACCAGACATCTCGCTTTTGTTTCAGCCACAACACAAAGCTATTTATTCCGGCTATCTGCTGCACTTGTTGGAGAGTTTTCTGAAGACCGAGCATTGCTGAGGGCCAACATGGTCTCTGAACCATTTAAGACATGATGGCGCATGCAATAAATTCACTTTATTTCTGTTATTTGCTATGTGTATGATAAAAGATTAATCGCTTTATATGACCTACGAAAATCATATGAAATCTATACGTTTCTGGATTTTGCTACTGCAATATACTGTTTTTGTCATAAGCTCCGTTACATTGGACGAATTAGAGACGTGCAAAAACTGGTGCTTTGAAAATGCAGGCAGAGAATAATTACAGAGTCCGTTTGACCTTTGTGCGCCTCGTGTTTCATAAAAATGAATTTCATTGTTTACACCTGGCGCGGAAATGCGGCATCCCTCTCTAATCATAATGAGTGGTTAAGCTCTGGGGCACACGCTGGAGTGGAAATTGATATGAGGTTCGTTCCACGAGCGCATACGTATTCAAATAACATCGTGTCTGCGAGTTATGAACGCCATTAGCGACATTATCTGAAACTAGTATTAGGTGTCCGGTTATATTCAAATTGAGTTTTCATTAACTTGAAATAATGCAGAAATGTATGCAACCGATTTTATAATTAAATCATATAATTAAAAGTGTCAATCGTATCATCCAAATAATTTGTATATATTTTCGCCTTTAAAAAGTGAGATGTTTGCAATCATATACTTGCACGAGTGGAAAGTTATTTAATTTCTAGTGTGGAATTTGCATATTGAACGTACCTGCATGGCAGAGGATCGCTAGGACGAGCGCCCACAGGATTGTGAGCCCCGGTCGCGACATCATTGTGAGAGCCTGTAAGAAAAATAAGCGACATTTTTATTCACATACATGCAAACGTTTCATGGAACGGTAAGTTAATAAAGAAGCATTTGGTTTAATGCATGTCATTATTTTCTAATGTAATAGTTTGAGTTGTTCTTCAATATGATAACTGAAGATATAAAAAATTTGCTCAGATTTAATTTACCTGATTTTAATGGATTTTGGAAATAACAATAATAGTGTTGTTAAATATTTGCGTTTTCCCTATATTTAAGTATTACGCCTCCACCAATTTCATTGCTGCAGATGAAAACCTCATTTCCACCTCAGCAATCTGATACTATGTGAATCGAAACATACGAACGCACGACTTTCTGAGAACCCCGAGAACTTTACCCTGGAGAAGTTCCTGTTCCCTGGGGAAATTAATCTTCCATGGATCGGAGACCAGTATTTCTACGGAACCAACGTGAGCGTGTCTGCAGCACGGTGAAGGAAGCGATATACCGCATTAAATGAGTTCCTCCTTTGGTGGGGGTGGTGGCGGGGGGGTTGAATTATTGCATTTTGTTTTGCAAAAGAGTCGCGCCAGGCCGGACCGGGACGTCAGGCACATGGAACATACGTGGCCATGGAGTAAGAGGATATCTCTGGTCTGCGGGCGGGGCGGCGACCGCAGAGCAGGAAGGCGCGGTGGTGGAGCGCGCCCGCCCGCCCTGCCAACCGCTCGACCCGCCTCGCCCCGCGCCGCCCCGACCCGCCACGCCTCTGCCCCGCCCCGCTTCGAAGCGGCCCCCTTCCGTAAACGAACACTAGGGCAGATCTCGCGGTGCGACGGTGCTCGGGCGATAGGCGGAGAACAGTGGTCCCAAAGGGAACTGGCAGGCAGCAACGCGCTCCAATTCGACAGTCGAACGTTCTCTGGGGGTTTTATGGTTATAGTCAAACTCAGAAATAAACTAAGAGATCGAGCCGATTTTGTTATGCGAAAATTCCGGTTATTGGGTAAAGCTTAGAAGTAAAGTAATACAGATGTCAAATATTCAAAAATACTTGATTTAAGTCACGAAATGATTCTGAAACTAATAGCAAATAATGTAAAATTTACAAAACGGAATATAAAAACATTCATTTATAAAAGTGTAGGCATTTCAGACAATTTAAATTACACTATGTTTCAAACTGCATATACTAATTTTAGTTCAAACACATTTGATACTACTTTTTCTAAAACTCGAATCGGAAAGTTAATTTCAAGAAATAAAGTTCTATTGCATGTTGTTTCTGACAGTTCAAATTTATTTTCTACGGACTTTTATGTGTAGAATATTGTAAAAAACTTTCAATTTTTATTTCATCTAGACAAAATAAAACCCAATTTCATTGATACACATTTTTTGATATCGCGAAGGCATGAAAACATTAATTACGGAGAAAACCTGTCATATTTTTATAATCAACATAAATATTGTCTCAGATATACAATTGAAATCAGTATGATAAAATTGAATTTGAAATCCTGCGTTGTATAGAAACGTATATAGAACTTAATGTAGTATTTATATCGAGTTTATATACAGAATGATAGGTTGATGAAAATGAAAGATCACAGGTCTCCAATATTACGATATTCATAGAATCTACTACAAAATTCCTTGCTATTGTGTTAAGTGTAAGCGCGCGTACTTCTTGTGTATTCACGTGAGGTCCATCACGAAACTACTTAGCGTTCACTGCGCGGGGGCGAACGGGATTGTTGCGACCGCCTTGCGGAAGCTACGCCCCGCCGCTCACTCAACGCCGCCACCGCCACCGCCACCGCCACCGGCAAACAATGGAGCGGCTCCCTTGCGAACTGCTCTTATGAAGTACACCGCGCGCGCATTCGCCGAGCAAAACACGTTGCGTAACCCGCATCCCCGCGAATGCGCCCTCCCGCGCTGCGCGCGCGCTCGCGCCAACGACCTGGATTTTTTTTATTGCTCGCACTCCAGTTGCGGACAAGTTTATTGGCCTCGCCTCACCTCGCGAGGCAAGGCCGGCCGCCTACGCCGCCATTGGAACAATGGACTCAGCCGGAGGTCACCGCGCGACTCCTGACGACGGTTTTCCGACCGACGTCGGCGGGTCGAGGCGAGGGTGTGGGCGGCGGCAGGGGCGGCGGCGGTGCGTGTGCGAGTTGTAGCGGCTGCGATGGTGGTAATGTAGTGTGCCAGCAGCCGAGGAATGGATATTACCGAATGAATTCATTGTATTTTGTTAATTTGAAACAAAAGTGATTATTTCACATTTCATTTATTATCCTTATACCAACATGTTTTAGTCAAAGAACTTTTCCAGTACAATTAACAAAAGAAACATAGAGGTGGATGATCTTCACTACGATAATTAATTTTATATTTTAAAACATGATATTGAAATAAGCTCAGTAAGTATAATGCGCATTAGTATAATTATGAACTTTGAAATGACCGAAATAATTAAAAAAATTATTAGTGTATCATTGTAGGTGAAAAAGGGGTATTAAAAGATGCTACGCAAAATGTAGAATGATCTTGGACACGAGAGATCATTTGAAAATACACGTTTGTCAAGATAACAAAACTGAAATGAAAATTATATGCTTCTGTAGAATTGTTAGTGTATTTGTGGTGCAATAAAATTTATTAATCTGTTCTTTTATTTGTTTTAATATGGCGTATTTAGATTTAGAGAACTCCCTTCCCAAGCAGCTGGCAAATATTCGTGGCTTACTCGTTGTCGAGACGCCATGTACGATGCTCAAATCTCCAATTATGAAGATTCACCGTACAGGGTTTTTTTCTTCAGGTTTATTACCTTCATGTATTTCTTCTTATTTATTACGAGCGTGTTAATGGTTGGTGCGTAAATTTGATTATCTATATTTTAACCTTGGTCTGGGACAGCAGCTCATTGTCATGGGCTACTGTTGAGGTACTGAAATATTTTGTGTTCTTTTACGTAGAAGCTGACTACTTGGCAAGAAATGGATTTTGTAGCTCAAAGAAGCGCTGCCTCCGTTCCCTAAAACATAGGAACGGGGCTGTATCGCAACATCAAACGCTTTGTGCGTACCCAATTAGCAACAGCTTTGTTTGAACTAACTCGACCCACCCGAGGACGCGACACTGTACCCATCCAGCCCTCTCTTTCAACAGAGGTCTCGGAGTACGGCTAGCTCGAGATGCAACGGCGTTCAAAAAAACTCTAGGCACCTTCATTTCAAGTGAAAATATGTCTTCAGAGTGTCTATGGGAATAGGGAAATAGAAATGTTAAATAAATAAAAGAAGAAAATCTTCATATGTGAGATCATACTTGATTACTTCATCGACCATTTTGACATAAAACCAGACTGCTGACTAAAACGAATGTGAAATATATATAAATATATATCTGCTAAAATTATAGAAACAAACGAGTTTAGCTTGCAAAGAGACGAGTGATCATTTAAAAAAGATATTTAGATGTAATAACTTTTGTCTACAGATTCTATAACTAAAATTTATAATTTGTGAAACACTTGACTTTTTTAAAATTAAAAGTACTGCTACTCGGGCGCTAGGTATAATTTGAACCTTGGCTGGCTATCCATTATTTATGATGGAGTTTTTCTAGTATTTCATGAAGATCAACCAATTGGGAATGAGAAATCAACCTTCAGTATTTCGACGGCACCTCCTTTGAATTCATCAGAGAAAATCACGTAAAAGACATCCAATCATCTTAGCTGTAGAATTCTCATTCAGACATCGACTATCCTACGTAGGTGACGTCTAAAAGTCCTATGTCTAATCTAAATTCTCCCATTCTACAAAGCTTATTTTACAGATTCGCAGCTGCATGCGCAAACGCAACCGATCACAATCGAGTTTAGTACGTGTGGAGCAGATCAAAATACACTAAATCCACAATCCATTTCAATTTAGTTTGAAGCCCATTCATCAATTTTAAACTTTTGGAAGAACACCAAAGAAACGTAGAATCAAAAATATTGCGTTCAGTTTAATACTAAAGAAAATATCATGATCACATAAAAATGCGAAATCCTATGCCCACTCGTCCTGTATTGTTAAGCAGAAACGTGTAGGAGGCTCTTTGAAGGAGGCCGAGTGTTGAGGCCCCATGATGTGCTTCCCCTCTCGCGCTAAAACTGCCCACATCCTTACGCGGACCGCGACGCGTCGAGCCGTGCCAATTCCTTGGAGTGCGTAACGGCCTTGAAAGGCCTTGGCCAGCGCTTGGCACGCTGCTGCTCGAGGTCGCCCCGCGCCGCGAGGCTGCCGGCCGCCGACTGCCGTTCGTTTCATTGCGTCAAATTGTCCCGTTGCCGGGTCTCGTTCGCGCGCCCCGCGCTCCCGCCCACCCAGGATGGCTGCTTAGGGCTTATCGAGCGTCACGACGCGCATGGCGACACGACGCGTTGGGACGCGACGCAATGGACGCGACCGCGATGGGACGCGACGCGCGACCGGACGCGACGCGATGGGACGCGCGACGCGACGCCGATGGGACGCGATGCGATCCGCCGATGCGATGCGATGCGACCGACGCAAGGCAACACGATACAATGCGAAGCGACGAAACGCGATGGGCGACGCGACGCGACGCGACTGACGCGACGCGACGCGAACGCGACGCCGACGCGACACGACGTGACGCGATGCGATGCGGCGACTAAACACACCACAGCCATCGGCTCCAATGTGAAAAAGCGACCAGGAAGTATTATTTTTGGCTCTTATCCCTTATATGCCCTGCGTGACAGAATCACTTGATACCGCTAGAACTGAAAACAACGCGAAGTGGCGTCTTACATCCTAACAACCTTTTAACCTTATATCATTATGTGGTGCGGTTGACGCTTCGCTAGGCGTGTCGAAGTCGATGACGAAATTCCGCCATCCAACCTCCTCGTTCATCATCATGCAACCTTGCATCTTGACAAGCATTTTATCCCTTTATCATTTGCCAATCATCATATAATCCACAAGAGTCCAAGTGGAAGAG